GGGCCATGTATAAAAAGCAAACGATCTTCCACCATCAACCTCTGCTTGGAGAGTAACTCTCGTATATATACATTATTAGGTTGTAATTATGGATAACTGAATGTTTATATTTTGAAAGTTTGAGGATTACAATGTATATTCGGAAAGAAAGCATGTGTTTGGAGCGAGTTCCATAATTTTGCAGTTCGGGGAAAGAAACTGTTGCAAGTATTGTGTTAATATTAAGATTTTAACATTGCCATTATAATGTTTAGCTTCTATATCTACTATTTGACGGACATGTACACCAGTCAAATAGAACTAGAAGTTTCAGGAGTCGTTTTTAAAAAGGCAAATAAACTTCTGGTGTAAAAGAAAGCTTGTTTACAAATAAACAAAAACTGTTGTCTGTACTTATAATGACTTTTTTAACGTCAGATTTTTGTTATTTCAGGCACTTATCCAGAGCATGTCCGAGGAGAATGAAAGACTGAAGGCCGAGTTTGCTGCGACACAGGACGGGAAAGATGCTTTGATTGTGGAACTCAGGTATATACTGATTGTTGTATATATAGAAAGCATAACGTTTGTAGTTCTTTTGTTTGCTATATGTATAAAATTAGAGGTCTCATGTTAAAATCTGACCAACAAAAATCATGTTCTTAAAATGCTGTGTTAAGTTTAGTTTCATAGACTTGGTCCCTCCCTATTCAATTGGAACATTGGACATGACAGCAAGAGTTTTCTGTATGATAATCTAAAAATTGAACACAATAGAACACAAACTGCTGAGATGAAGGAGGGTGTTATTCCCTAAATGACACACTATGACCGTTCGGTTCTGTTTCATATGGAAGAATTCATAGACGAAACTCTAGAAGGAGCATTAAACTTAGCTTGAAATAAAACAAAAATTTAGGGACCCCCCTAGCAGGCTCGCGCATGCGGCGCTTGCTGACGGACGCCTTCGGCGCCCGAAATCTTGCCCCCCCCCAATCAAAATTTCCTGCCGCCGCCTCTGATTGTCTAATACTCTAGTCTTGGAGTTGGAGCGTAAAATAAATACATATATAAAAACTTGAAATAATCTTCATCACACATTTTTCATCACAGAAAGCAGAGTGAAGATCTGAAAGCTCTCAACTCCTTGTTGAAGCAAGAAGTCAACCAACTCCAGGCCGCACAGGACAGCCTGGGACGAGGCTTCTCTCCCATCGAGATGGTGACTTCTGCTGACCTATCAGAGTCCACAACACAGGTGAGACTAATAAAACAAAAACAGATGAGGCACACGCATGATGTAAAACGCTACATCATTGGTCTCTTCTGGGCAAACATAGTCACTGGCACCAGTTTGCTTCTAAACGAAGTTCAAAAAATAATTTGTAGTCGCTCATTGTTAAGGCCGCTTCAAAATTGGTAATAAGCTTGATGACGAACTGAAACCTTATGAAAGGAGAGAAATGACAACTGTTTATTTATAAACGTTTGGCTAGGTCGTGCAGAGATAAGCACTGCATGAATGGAAATTCTGGAAATATATAGAAAGAAATAACTTCATGATATTTTAGTCAATAGTTTCCCTATGGCTTTTAAGTACACTTCAATTCAATTTCAATTTATTTATTTAACCAGTAATTACAGCTCAGGCCATTTTGGCCTGTTTTTCAGGTAATCCTGGATACAAATAAAAAATACACACAACAAATACACAGTACATAAACTATTACAAAATGTACTAAATACAACATCCTAAACAATATGTGCACTATTCCCCGCTGTCATGATAGTACCTTTCCCAAGCCATCCTGTTGTTGAGGCCTATACACCGAAGAAGTCTTAAAACTAGAATAGTCCGCGTTTTTTAATGTTAAAGAGCCCACTATTTCAAGTAATGGCTTACCTGTAAACACGTTGGCCCCTTTGATTTGCATATTATATTAGCATGAGTCATGACCCTTTGCCGAAACGCCATTGGCTGGGGAAAAACCCCGCCTTGTGTGCCACGACCCCTGGCCACAAGGTTGTTGGGAATATTGCAAACCGTTTGGATAACCATGCAGCAAAGGAACGACTTTTACTGTCGCCACGGACCGATTTGCTATCCCACGGATGAGTCCGAACCTGTAACTGTGTCCCTTTGTCAAGGACATCAAGCTCGAAACGTCGTAAGTTTGCTATGATTTTCTTAACTACATCGCGAAGTTCGCACCATGACTAAGAAACAACAAAGGCCTAGATTTTTTTGGTCACAAATATGTATGTAAGAAGGCATGGTCACAAAAATGTACGTACGAAGGCATGTGTACATTTTACCGATAGTTGTCGTATGGATTCAGTGAGATTATGGGGAAAAATCACTGCAATAGTTTTCTCTGCATTCCCTCTAAATCGAAGTTCACATGGGAAAAAATACCAGCGGCTGGATTTGGAAAATACAAGATGGCGTCCTGGCTGTTCCAAAACAGTTAAACAACTGCACACGTACTGGATAATACATGCCAGCTAGGGTAACGTTAACGACAATGAACTTTCTTTTTCTTGATACACAAGTTGAAGTGCCAATCGACAGGATGACCCATAGCAGTAGCTTAAAATGGCGCCCAGGTATATTAGAAACAAAGGTGGCAGCGTGCCAGACAAAAAAAAACACCTTCCCAAGCTAAACGTCGGTACATTTTGGACACACCGACACCTTACGGATATAAAAATAATCAGAACCTACCTACAGCAGCTGTTGAACATGTTTCTGTACCTCCAGCTGTCTGAAGAACTGCGAAAATATGATCTTAGAACTGTTCTCTTTGTTGTCGAGACTTGGCCACGTGGTCTTTAGTGGCCAGTCCATGGAAATTTGTCTCACCCTAACCATTTGGACTCAGAGCTGAGCCTAAGAAAACCTCAAGCAACTCAACTGCTTCAAGTTGTGAACTCAACGTCTTTATCGGCTAGTTAGGCGCGCGTTTTTTCAAGGACTTAATGTTATGGGGTACAACTTTGCATGGTAACATAGGTTAGGTGTTAATGTTGTTAAGCTTGTTAGACATGACGAAGGGAATTACCCAGGGATAATTTGTTAGTCAGTTCTGGAGACCAAGTAGACGACATTTCCTTTGTCCAACACGAAGAACTTGGGTAAACAACACAGTGATTCGTGGCTTTTTACTCATTCTAGAATCTAGATACTTTTCTCTGTACCGTTTGAAGTGAGAACAGTCGAAGATGTGCGCGGTTCCCGTCAAGTTGTCGTCAGGTACGGCTACAACGGGCTCGACGTGTCCTGGCTCACCGTCTGTACGGTGAGCGCTGCTATATCAGCCCGACGGGTTCCAAACCGATTGCCCCTGCAAGCGAACAAAGACCATTCCGCACTTGGACGCCACGGCCGTCGTTCCTATGCGCTTTTTCACCGTTACTCATTCTCTGTTAGTGGTAATAACACTCCTCAAGTCCAATTTCTAGGTTGTACAGTCTGCAGATCCAAGAACCAGAGAAACTGAGGCAACTCAATTCTCAACTCCTTGAAGTTATGGAAACTCGTTGAAGTTGTGGACGCAAATTTTTCGTCAGTTAGTTACATGCCAGGCTTCTGCAGTGGTGATATACTCGTAAATGAAGTTTCAGGTTTTCTTAGTAACTGTAAGATGTAACTTGAGATTCCCCACCAACGTGGAAAATCCCTGATTATACAAGATACAAATTTATCTCCTTTCTAAAATCCCCAACATAGCGCACAAACAACTCATCGGACGTTGACCTTTGCCGAGAATTGCACAGTCGTCACAACTATCATGTGTAAACTAAACACGCATTTCAATATTATCAAAAGACGCTCTAAACCCTCCAAGATCTGTGATTTTTTTTTATTTCCCAAAGTTTCATAGTTCCAAGGATTCGCCTTTGGAGAACTTAAAGACATTTAAGTTCATCAAAGGCAAATGTCGTGTCAGGTTTTCTCAGTTACTGTGAGATGTAGCCATAGTTGTGGGATTCCCCACCGCCAAGGAAAATCCCTGAACTCAAGATACAAATTTAGCTCCTTAAAATCCCCAGCCTGGTGCAGTAACAACTCAGCGGAAATTTACTTTTGGCGGGAACTGCGCAGTCTTCACAACTAAAAAGTGTAAACGTGCATTTCAACATTGTTAAAAGACGCTCTTATTTTTATATTATTCTCCAAAAGTCCTCTGTTTCATAGTTTCAAGAATGTGCTATTGCTGAACTTCAAGACATTTTAAATGTTGATAAACGGCAAATATCTCAGGTTTTCTCAGTTACTGTGAGATGTAGCCAGAGTTGTGGGATTCCCCACCGCCAAGGAAAATCCCCGAACTCGAGATACAAATTTAGCTCCATTTTTCCCAACCTGGTGCAGTAACAACTCAGCAGAAATTTAGTTTTGGCGGAAACTGCGCAGCCTTCACAACTAAAAACTGTAAACATGCATTTCAACATTATTAAAAGACGCTCATATTTTTTATTCTCCAAAAGTCCACGGTTTCATAGTTTCAAGAATTTGCTATTGCTGAACTTCAAGACATTTTCAATGTTGATGAAAGGCAAGTATCTCTCAGTTTTCTCTCAGTTACTGTGAGATGAAGCTAGAGATGTGGGATTCCCCACCACAATGGAAAATCCCTGAACTCAAGATACAAATTTAGCTCCTTTCTAAAATCCCCAGCCTGGTGCAGTAACAACTCAGCGGAAATTTTGGGTTTTGGCGGGAACTGCGCAGCCTTCACAACTAAAAAGTGTCAACATGCATTTCGACATTATTAAAAGACGCCAAAGATCTGTGATTTTTTTTATTCTCCAAAAATCGATGACGATGGTTTCATAGTTTCAACGACAGTATTGCGATTGAGATGAAAATATTTTGAAAATTCAGAAATTTTGCGCATGCGCACCTATATTGTTGACGGCCCCAGACGGAGTAGGTCGGGATTGCAGGAATGTTCGCCTTGGGAGAAGTCAGGAATACGTCAACACTTGACAAGTGTCTTAATTACATGTATACTGGCCTTGGAACACCCGCTCCAAGGAATGGGTTTTTATTTTGCGAAACACGAGGATAGTCTGATAACACAAGATATTGTGAGTGTACATTGTCGGTGTCGACGTGCATATTTTGTATGTGAAACAAGAAAATTGTGGTTTGGATGTATTGTAGAAGCCGTTGATCAATAAGGTGTGTGCGTGGTACAGGCACTTCCTGGTTACTAGCCGTGCGTCAGTGGCAAATGGACAGGGTCAGGGGTCAACGTTCTGTCTTTTCCTCTGCATTAGCGCACGTAGTCAAGTCAATGTGGTGTATAACCTCTTGTACAAGTTATACATATGTTCAAATGGCGAAGTGTTGATTTGATATGACCTTAATTAAGCTCAAGGGAAAACAACCTATGGGGAAAACAATCTTTAGAACTGAACAACCGTGAAACTAGTAAATGTAAATATGTACAAAGGTACTCAAACCCTAGCCTCTTCAAGGCTTTTCATTCTTCAAAACTACATGTTTTAATCTTGAATGGTTTTCCCTTGATGAACTGTAGAATTTTGTGATACTTTCCTTTGTCTGGGATTTGCTTACTCGGGTAAATACCCAGATGAGTCAGCGATTGAAGTAACAACATATTGCCTGCCTCGATATGAGCACGTCGACAGAACGTACTGCGCCTGTGCAAACTCCCAATTTTTCAACAGTTTTCGTTGAATTTTTGGTCAACGTTGCATCAGAAATTTGCCTGTTGCAGACGATATTTTTTCTGACATAACCTTTGGAAAATACAGACGGCGTGTTAGCCTTTTATGCGCAAATACAACCTTATACGAGACGTTCTGCCGAAGTGCTATGCACAATACAATGTGCGAAACGTCGTGATTTCCGGACATATTCAAAGTTCAAATATTCCTGGACATGTCGCATATTGGGACTGTGTCCGGAAAAGAGGTTCGATACTAAACGTATCCTGAAATATCCTGAGTCCGGAATTGTTTTGTTGCATATCCGTACATATACGACTTTCATATTTTCACAGATACGTGTAATTGGCATTTCTTGCTTCCGAATACATGATACGTTTCACATTTGGGGCATATCCAAGGTATTCCAGGAATGAATTTTGGACAAAATATCCTGAGGCAGGAATTATTTTGTTGCATATCCGGACATATATACAACCTTATATGAGACGTTCTGCCGAAATGCTATGTACATTACAGGTTTCGCGCAGGCGCTGTACGCTCTGCAGACGTGCTCTCGATATGTGGCATACACCTAACCAATGACAGCAATCCGACTTGCAGGAGGGGCTCCCATTGGTTATGAAACAGTCCGGGAAGACCAATAAGAGAGGTCGTCGACACTGACCTTATAGGAGGTCGCAATCCCATTGGGCAGGAAATATGAGACAAACCAATCGGAGTAGCTGACAACACTGTCGATGAAAGAGGGGCTCCCATTGGTCAGCAAACAGTACAAAAGCATCACGGTTGTGTAGAAACTGTCGAAACTGCGATTCCAACTGTTTTTTTTCCTCTCCTTTTGTAGCCTTTAGAGCGAGATCAGCCCAAGATGTGTGCCGTTCCCGTCAAGTCGTCGGCGAGTCCCGATGACCAGGCGCTGAGGAAAAGGATTGAAGAACTAGAGGGTCAAAAGAAAGAGGTAAGATCCTAAAGCAATTGTTTTATGAATTCCACGAAGAAAAGAAAGTGAGTTTCCATGTAGTTCTCTGAAACAAGACCCACGTAAGTCGCCCCATGTGGCAGTAACTACCTCCAGATGTGGCGAATTCCTTGTACGTAACCAAAAACGGCAGTAAGGCCACAGCAAGTAATTTTTATGGATGACATCAGCGCGGGCATTAATTTTCGCCTGGTTTTTTGGGGGAAAAACACAAGAAATTTTGTTACCCTCTGACATCAACGCGCGCATTAATTTACGCCTGATTTTGAAAAAAAAAGAAATTTTGTTACCCTCTGACAGTAGTCAACATGCCGAAAATGGGCAAAGATGTCTGTTGCCATGCTGGAATGTGGATGGCAGATAAATATGAACAGGAGGCAAGACAAGGCTCTGATTTAATGTTTTGTTTCTTACTTTGATGCAGTGATATGTGATGTTGGCTGTGTATATGTGATGTTCCTACTGAATCAAAACCATTTGTACGATGATTGAGTCGAAATTTTACATTGTAGGAACCTTTTTTTTCGGCCCGCCTTGTTTTTTTTCGCCCGCTCGCATTAGATTTGGTATCTAATGCGGAGGATGTCATCCATAATATTTACTTGCTGTGGCCTAACCACTTCCAGATGTAGATAGATATCTCTAGTAATGTAGAATCACAGAGAGCCATTGTTTGTGAAGACATACTTAGATTTTTGGAGTTTGCCACTTTCAGACAACTGGAAACTTTTAAACGAGCCACGGCTTAATGATAAGCTAAAGGTGGAAGAAATGGAGAGATTATCACTTCACTTACCCTGGATGCCAAAACTAGTATCGGGCCGTTAGCCGTTTTCCTTCGAGAGCCCTTTGCCCGCCTGCCTAAATTACCGCTACGGGGGAGTTGAGCCCGAGGGGTTTGTCCGGCCCTTTAGGGCTAGACTCCCCCGTAGCGGTAATTTACACCAGCGGGCGAAGGGCTCTTGCGGCCCGGAAAACGAGTTCTGGATTCCAGGGTACACTTCACTGTGCACTGGTGAGGACGACACTAGTAGTTCAGTACAGTTGGAGGTCAATACTTCTAATAATAGAAGGTTATAGAGGGTTAACCGAAGACGTCGACTGGCCCCAGACATTCCAGACCCACGTACCTGTCACTCAAAGGGTCCAATGGCGCCTACCCAGCGTAGAAAAGGGAAGTATGTGTCAGAGAGGGTCATCGGTAATAAATAACCCAGAAACGGAGGTTTTCTCCACGGCCGTCGATATGTCAACAACATAAATAGTAAATGGTTAAAGAGAATCAAGATTATTAAGGATTTATACAGACATTTTGTTGTTTTTGAAAAATTGATTGACATACCACATAATGTACGAATGTCGTGGTTGTACTTCTTTGATTCTTTGATACTCCCATTCCTCGGAAAACAGCGTATACTTCTATTAGTGCTATATCCTTATATACAACTCTTCGTAAATTCTTGCCTTCCAACAGGATTTTGTATATTTGTGTAGCCCACAATGGCAATGCTCATTCTGCCATCTGGAGGAGGAAACATATATGTCTTCTGGGATTGCCCCCAAATAATCGAGTTGTGGAAACAAGTTAAAACTTAGTTCTTTGAAATGTGTAAACTCTTTTAATGTTATATTTGGAAATCTGACCGATTATTATTAATCGTATAACTTTATTGGCCAAAATGTACATTTACAAATGCAGGGAATCTAAAAGACTACATTTTCAATCTTTTGTCTAATTATGTATATCTCTTTGAAAATGCTGAATACTTTATTGCTACAAAGAGAAGGAAGATTGAAAAGCACCGGGGAAAATGGGGAACATTATGTACAGTTTGATTATGATTATATATAATCTTTTGTTTAAGCGATGTCTTATTGAATATTCATGTGCCAGCTCTGCTTGCACAGTTGTGGTTTTCTACTGGGGTGGTTTCTTTATGCACATGTTACTTTTGAATTGAAAAAAAGTTTTAAACGAGGTATTAGACCGGGATAGATCACTAGATATATACAAGGAGGTTCAAAATATATAGCAGTAGTACCCGCCTCCATATGTGATGAATGCCCTGGGCGTATATTAAAACAGAAACGACCGTAACCACTTCCATATAAAGTTTGATTTCTCTAGAATGAACTAGAATCACAGAGTTAGCTATTGTTTCTGTACGTGGAGTTTGGTAACTCAAGAATGACCCCAGACATTCCAGACGCCCGTGTCTGTGCCTGAGGTCTCAAGGGAGTCTACCCAGCGTGGGAAAGTGGAGAATGTGTCAGAAAGGGTCATTAATAACCCAGGAAAGTTTCCACCCTTAGGCCACACCGACTTAATTTTATGGATGACATCCTCTGAAGACCCCCAAACTAGTGCGCGCGGGCGAAAAAAGAAAAATCCGGCCAAAAATAAAAATGCTACTAAACCACAGGAATACAAAGCCGGTATTGTGAATTTGGCGCAGTACATGGCGACGTATACGACAGGCCGGCACATGCTAGATTTTTGCGGAATTTATGAATCGACACTGTACGTATGTACTGAGTTCTTGACTCGTGGAGCTTCGGTAGCCTGGGTGCCGTCCTCCAGAGTTACTACCGACTTCGTTGTCGCTAATCACCATGGACTGCCCAGGCCTAAAGCCAGGCCAGAGACTCGTAAGACATGATCTTTTTTTTTTTTTTTTTTGAGATCAGGTGGAAATCAATGCGCGCGCGGATGTCATCCATAAAATTAAATCGGTGTGGCCTTACCGTCAATATGCTTAGGCCCACAAAGGATTCGACATTATGATGATTGAACAGTTGCGCCAAAAAGCAGTTACTCAAGCAACTGGAAATGATTTTGGAAACGGTCAGACGTTTCAGCTAGTATCCACTAGCTTTCGTCAGTGTCTGAGAGACCAAGAAGACGGAGGATACAAATGACGAAAGCTGTTGGATACTAGCTGAAACGTCTGACCGTTTCCAAAATCATATCCAGTTACTTGAGTAACTGATTTTTGGCGTCTCTCACTACCTGGATGAGAGAAGTCGGCCATGATGGTCTGTTGTCACAAAAAACCCAATCGTGTCCAGTGAGGGCCTTTCTCCATCCAACAGCTGCTGAGGCCTTTTAATATACAGAGAGCTGCCTGTGTACAGATAGTACAAGAAGAAGAGGAAACTTGCTTTGTCCGACAATAGCAGTACAGGAGATCTAGAATGGGACGACGAATGGCCCCAGATGGGACAGAGATAGTAGGGCAGAGATGCTGGAACTGGTTAATGGAAGAAGGGAAGGAGTCAGAAGAACGAGGTTTCCCTATATATCATTGGGGAGGACAACTATCTATTGTGATCCAATAGAAAATGGTACGTATTTCCCTACGCCATTTCCATGCTCTTATTCTATTTCACGTCCAGATTCTTGAGGTGAACAAGCAGTGGGACGTGCAGTACAAGGCCATGAAGGCAGACATGGGACAGAAGATGCGTGACATAGAGACACGACATGAAGAGACGATGAGGAAGAATGCAGAACTCGTCAACGCGGAGGAGAAGAGACAGAGAGACATCGACGGCATGCTGATGTCTGCTAAGAAACGGATTGAGGCAGAGGAGGTGAGTGTATGTCTATCGTATCCTATCCTGCATACGTATTTTTTAAAAATCTTTTGAGCGGCTGTAAAACTGGTGGCAACGGTGGGATTGAAACCCCCCGCCATGGAAATGACTGTTAGCAGGTGCATTAACGTTCTTTACTGGGTCAAATTTACAACACATGTCCTACGGCTCCGTGTGGACGTCAATGTAGCTAAGCTAAAACTGGTGGCTGCGGTGGGATTCGAACCCACGACATGGAAATGACTAGTGGTTTATTTTGGGTCTGGTTCTTTATTTGGGTCTAATATTGGTGGCAGTGGTGGGATTCAAACTCACGCTATGGTTCCGAATGGTTTGTGCATTTTGGGTTTAGTGCTTTATCGGATCTGATTCACAACAATACAATGACAATGGAGACGTGACAACAGCATATTCTAAAGGAATCTTTCTTAATGAACCATTCTGTCCTCCACAGAGAGCGAAAGACAAGGCCCTGTTGGACCTTCAGCAGGAGAAACAGCGCGGTGACACCCTGTCTGCCCGGGTCACTCTCCTGGAGAACCAGATCACAGACATGATGCGGCAGCGGGGAAACCAGGAGGCCGAGATCAGGAGACTGAATGAGGTACTGTACAACGTTTCTAGCCAGGAAACAAGACCGTCGTGGGCTCACGTGCATCTCTTCGGTGCTGGGAGTATTGCCTACCCGCCCAGGCCCATGCATTAGCGCACACCTGGGGTTTACCTTTTAGTCGGTTTCAAATATTCTACAGTTCGCCAGTAATCAGAACGGCCAGTTGGAACGATTAGGAAGAAAGGCTGACAGGAAAGACAGGCTGTCGGAAAGAAAAGTTATGTAAAATAACTGGTGATTAAAAAAATACTCCTCAGCCAGTCCGAATAGAATGCAGTAATATTTGCCAGACTTTCTCTCTTCAAGACCGTTCATTATATAGATTTATCTTGGAGCCATGTTTCGGTGTAGAGAGTGCGAAGTACTATTACCAATAGAAGAATACACGCGTCCTCAAATGAGGCAAAAGAACAATTTATCTCACTATTTTAGTAATGGCATGATTTTACGGATTACCTTGGTGCTGAAAATTATGTTGTTAAATTTATGTGAATCAGACATCTGATAAAGGTCGACTAGATCAACTGAAAAGTCATGAGTGGAACAAATATTAGTACATATACTATAAGTACAGACGAGCTTTCATTCGAATATAAATAATTTTGGTGCTATCGTCGATTATTATTGTAGTAGCCATCACGTTCATGGTGATTTAAAAATGGTACATGTATGTTTATCCCAAAACAGGCTCTCGGTGAGGCATCCAGCATTGCCGTCCTGAGTCCCCCGGCCCTGCAACCGGCAGAACGGCAGCAGGCGCCGGCTCGTCCCGCCCAGCCACCGAGCCATCCCGCTCAGCCCCAGTCCGCTGAACCACTGCGGACGGAGGTTGAAGTTCTTCGGGCCCAGGTCGCCACCTTCCGCGAGGATTTTGAGATGGAGCGCCGTGACCGGGAGAGGATGCAGGGGGAGAAGGATACGCTGAAGGACGAGATCACCGCCCTCAGGATGCATGTGGACACTCTTTCCCAACAGGTTTGCCTTGCTTGAATTGAGCTTTGTCCACCATAGATTTAATTCTAAGTTTAAAGATTTACATTTGATTTTAAGTTTAAAGTTTTTTTTTTCATTTAGTTTTAAGCCTAAAGTTTTTTTTCTAAACTCGTACTAATGATACTGATATTTGTCGTTGGCATGCCTGTTAGTTTGTATATATTTTTTGTATAAAGAACACACATTGACCATCTTTTACTGTACGAACTTGCATTCGTGGGCAGAGAGATGAATCGGATATTAAATGTCGCGTGTTTAGCTTTTTAAACTCTATGTCTTTTTTCTCCAGGCACGTGTGTACGAAGAAGACTTCAGGAGGGAGAGATCGGACAAGGAACGACTTCAGCGTCAGTTGGGACACATGCCACAGGTAAGAATCTGTCTGGTTGTGGTCTCCAAGCAGAGGTTGATGGTGAAAGATTGTTTGCTTTTTATATATGGCCCTTTTTTGTCTTCCATCATCAACTTCTGCTTGGAGAGTATCTATTTGGGCCTTCCTCGATAGTAGATAGTAGAAAATAGCATCGAATATGATGTCAAAGGCCTATGTTGCACAGCTTTTTGCATGGAGCCCCTAGTGCTCAATGAGATACATGACTGATTGAGAGAGGGATAAAACCTTTTCAACCATCTGTCAGTTCCATCCAACCGGAGTCTATTAGCCTGGGTACCATCCTACTTGTATTCCGGGGCTCCCACACTCGCTTCCCTATCAAATTAGGTACTTGTTAGGGAAGCGAGTGTGGGAGCCCCGGCATACAAGTAGGATGGTACCCAGGCTAACAGTCTATATCATGTGCTTTTGGAAAACGTAACAATGCGCATACTAAAAAAAAAATTACGGCTCTCAGTGAGGCTCTCATATATGAGAGTTGACACATCGGCACACCAAATCCGTGAGGTGTTTTTGGCACCCTGACAGACAGATTAGCCTAAGAGGCTCGGTGGGCGTCACTCCGCCGTATAGGTGGGGAAGTCGCGTAAAGTGCCTTTCCCAAGAGCACAACGTCGGGCCACGGTGAGTATCGAACCCGGGACCTCTCGGTTCCGAGTCCAACGCTCTAACCGTTTCGCCACCGACGCCACAATGCGCATACTAGTAAAGTAGTAATATACACAACCTGACGTATACTTCTTGTTCCCACAGGGTGCTGGTCAAGGCCATCACTACAACATTCCTCCACCACAGCGTCACGTCCCCCCTCCCAAACTGTACCGACCCCAGGCTCCACCCCCCTACCGTGAGGACCCCCCTGCGTACCAGAACTACCCCCATGGCCAGACGCATCCCCCACCCACACCACACGAGCTGCAGCAGAGAGAGTTCGACAGGTACCGACAGGTATGGTGATTTCATGTTATTGTTACATCATACATATACTCTGTACGTAAGATAACGTTATCCACACATGTGTTTAGCTTAAGTTACTTAAGTTGTAGAAGACCATACAAATGTCTCTGTACGTTTTTGTTGTGTCAATAAAGAATCTGTTAGTCCTCCTTTCTGTTGGACCACGTTTGCTGATTTCCGTCTCGTTTATAGGGTCGTTTAAAACAATTATTTGAAACAGTTGATGCCATGTAGCATAACACATTTTGTGACTGTTTGCAAATCACGAGGCTTTTGTGCATAACTTGCCATAGATGGTTGATTCGTCGATGAAGGTTAGACATCCAGATAATGTGATACACTAGAAATCATTACTCAAGCAACTGGATAGGCATTGAAAACTGTCAGACGTTTTAAGTAGCACCCACTACTTTTCTGTTTTGTTGATCATTTCAAAAGAAAGCTAGCTAGCAGATTCTTTATCTGAGTCTCTCCACGGTCCACGGTGTGAAATATTAATATTAATAAAATTTATTCTTTTTTTCAGTATGGCAGACTGATCCCTCGGCAGTATCCACGGACACTCGGCCATGACGTAGTAGATGACGGAACACCCAGAGACGAGCCTCTCGAAGACCATGTAAAAACGTATTCGCAGTGGTAAAGTTTAAATTTTCCGCAGACACTGTTTAGAGCTATGCGATAAGAATCTTGACAAACTGACTGTAATAAATTTATTTGTGGAAGGAACATGAAAGGGTATCTGACAAGGGTATTTTGAGCACTAGCTTGGTCTCTTTTGTTTATAGATAACCACTTCGAATTCATGAGCAAAAGTGTTTCAAAAGTCATCAAAACGATGCAATGCTGTTTGTTTTACACAAGCACTAAAAGTAACTGACGGGGTATAATTTTGTTAACTATTGCGGAAGCGTGTCACACAGTAGTCGTTTTCCTAGCTTTAGATTTCCCCAAGTGTTCAACACAAATCGGTACATTCTCGACTCCGATTTATTTGAGATATTGACTATCAAAGAACGACGTTGTCGAATCTTTAATGTAGACTGAGTATATTGTTATTTTTCATTTCAGTGCATATTGTCTAGATGATTTCTTCATTGAATCATTAAATGTTGGTTGGCGTTTCACGACATTGAGCTAAACAATTATCAAAGGAGCTTCTATATGCTATCATAATACTATCATAATGGTGTAGATTTTCGTATTCTGTTGCTTTCATGATATATACCCAAGATGGCCAAGAATATCACATCAAAAGAGACAATTGAGGTTAACTTGTAGTAGTAGTAATAATAAACCATATTCTTTGTATATATCATTGGCTTGCACCCAATAAAATAAAAGTCTTATTGGTTGTCACTCGTGCTATGTCAATTTGAGCATCTGAGATGTTTCTATTTTCAATTTTTTTCATCTTCCACACTCTCGCAAAGAAAGAATCATATTGAAATGACCATGTGTAAGAAGTACAACCTGGTTTATTATTATTTTTTTTTACTTTGAACCTTAAAAGCACACTTAGTCTACAGGCTGTATAACTATCACAGGTTGGTAAAATTAGTATGATCAGTCTGTATTAAAGTACATGAGAAGTTACAAACAACTTGCTAGACTGAGTGTGTTCGTAGAGCACATAACGTTATACCAAAATATTTTTTTTTTACAAAAATACATACTGACCAAAATCCATAAACATCATTGAAACAGTAACATCAGTTCACAGGAAAGGTAATACCACCACACAGCAAAGTGTATACAAGTCTTAAAAAACTATAGACGTTTTTAAAAAAAGTCTTTAAAAACTATAGACGTTTTAAAAGACGTCCGACATCCTTCTTCAGTGATCATCTTAGACCTTTGAGAGCTGAAGAAGGTTGCTGGACGCCATCTTAAACGTCTATGAATTTAACAGCAAGCTTTTATCGAGTTGTATTAGGCCACACCAATGTAATTTGTTGGTTCTCGGATTTTTCTGGAAAAGTACGAAGCGACAGGGTCTGGGCATCCTGTTATAGCCCAAAATGCTACGATAGGAGCCATGAAGTCAACACAAAAGGCTAGTTTAATATTTAAACAGTGAATTTTGAACTTTTACTCAAACCACTGCATTAATAGAAGAAAAAACTGTAACAACTAGTAGGAAGAGGACTTTCCTCAACTGTTGGGGGCAAAATATGAACATTTTAGAGTTGATTCAGAACCAGATTTTAAAAATAAAGAGACGAATTCGAGAACCAACAAATTAGATTTGTGTGGTAATAATATTCAATGCATAGTATAATACTGTCATGTTCGGGATTTTGTTACGTCCTTCATTGTCTGCTCTTAGCACTCTCCCCTTCTTCTTTACTATCTTATCTTATAGACCTATCGATTCAAGGGAACATTTAATCTCTTTATACAACTCAGTCGAGGGAACAAAGAAGCATTGCCATGTGAGTTTCGTTAGATGGCATGTACTTCTGATTACCTGTCCATGGATCAAAAATTGCCTGCCTTGTGCGTATTGTTAGATGGCATGTACTTCTTAGTATCTACCGGCAGAACAAATCGACATCACCATGTTTATATGTACCTTAGACGTACATTAAAACTATTTCCATCTTCACTCAATGGCACAGGAAACTACTAGCAAGTATAAGAATAACACAGGTCCTGTACAAGAAACTGGCTGTTAGAGAAATATGATAACACCGTACTAGAACACCCTATTACAACACGCTAACAAACATATAAGAATGAATGAAATAGATTAAAGAAGATCATAGGAAGAATAAGTTAATCTAAATTATAAGTAACAAAGGAAATAGCTACACAGACGTAACACTGAATTTGTGGGTAAAGTATTTTAGGCCGGGTCACATTTTTCAGTGACCACCACATGATGTTAATCTAGCTATGCTGTGAGAGAACAAACCCTTTTCGGGAACAACCACAGTAGAATTTGGGACGACACATGTACAACTATCCCACGAATGACCCCAGTTTGTAATCATACGGCGATCTTATGGACGAAGTAGCTTCCTTCGCAGACTTGTGCGACGACGGCGTTAATTCTTTTCGGTGAGCGACGCGAGTTATGCCGCGGAGGGAGTACAAGTATTTCGTGGCGAAACATCCTACTGCAAATCTAGCTTGGTATATCCAGGCTATCGTGGTTTGGGCAGGCTGTCTTCGGGGTTCTAACAGTTTTCCCCCGCCCATCTCAACAGGCCGCCTGGTTGGGGTGTTACACCGAAGAAAATCCGCCCCAACCGCGATAAACTAGATACCAGGTTAGGGCAAATCTACCGATCCGCGGAGAAATACTCCCTCCGGGGCAAACGTCCCTCCGCGGCATTACTCGGGTCCCCAGAAAAAAAATTAACGCCGCCGTCGCACAAGTCTGCGAAGAGGGCTATGTATATATATGGACGAGATGTGACCAGGCCCTTCGGTACTGTGTGTTTAGTTCACGCGTACGGGTCCGCAACCTTCGCTCTGAGGCATCTGCACGCCACCGGCACCTGCTCCACCTGACCACGGTACTCCAGCTCGCCGTCCACCATAACTTTCCAGATCACCCACCTGGGTGCGTAGAAGTAGCCCTGTTCCAAGCTAGGCCTGCACGCTTGTTTTCGACAACGAGCGAAAGGGATGTCCATCGGGATCCTGTGAGGGTTGCGATCTATGAACACCCGGTAGGGGGCGTCAGTCCTGGTGCCAAAATAAAAGTCAAGTCAATAAAAATAAGATAAATTTTATTGCACGACAATTGCAGCAGGTACAATATATTACAGATAATAAGATTACTAGCTGGTATGTATGGGTCCAGCAGAATTCTACATATAGATTCAACGGATGACTAACAACTAGTACCGACTTATAGTACGTGCAAAGCTACGCTACACTATACATATAAAGAGGACAATGAGCAGTTGTATATATACTATATATAATGTTTTACGGATACTATACTTCACAGAGTATTGACTAATTGCATGGATACGATCTGTTACAATTCTACATAGGTGTAACGCACACGCATGGGTGTAACGTACACGCACACACACACACAGAAACATACACACACACACACACAGAGAAACATACACACACAGAGAGAAACACACACACACAGAAACACACACACACAGAGAAACACACACACACACTCAGAAACACACATACACAGAGAAACACACACACACACTCAGAAACACACATACACATACACACACACACACACTCACAGAGAAACACGCACACACACTCAGAAACACACACACACACACACAGAGAAACACACACAGAAACACACCCACTCAGAAACACACACACACACAAACACGTGCACACACACACAAACACACACACACACACACACACACACACACACACACACACACACACACACTCAGAAACACACAAACGGCACCTAAAACCTTGATAACGGTAAAATCACCTTTTGTTGACACGCTTGTTAGGGTCCCGCCCCTGCGGGTGTAGGTTGAGAAAAGGCGAGATGGCATCCACCTGACGCTGGGTGAGGACAACATATCCGTCCGGTCCCAGATCACTTCTCTTCAACTTGGATCTGTACTTAGTCGGTCTCCCATCGATTAAGCCGGGCAACACAGTCACAGCGGTAACTAGCAGGAAGAAAATCTGTGGACAAAAAAATGCCGTGTTAAAAAACTTCGCACACTACATGTACAAGTAATGGCATTGGTATCCTGCCCCCCCCCCTAAAAAGAAGTATGGAATGACCCGTTGACCCATGGGACTTCCCCCTATCAATGACCTAAGCTAAATGTATATGCCCCTAGTCATTGGAAATCCCCATCATTCGACAGCGTGGATTATGCAATGTAGGTCGTTCCAAGTGCTTTCTAGACATTGCATTTTACTGACCATGGATCAGTGAGTTTCTAGGATACAGAGAATTCTAAGCAGTAAAAGACCACTGACGTTCGTCTGTCAGTCCGTCCTTGCACTACAGATTTATAAGTCAGGAAGAAATTCGAAGCCAGAAGAGTAGAGTGGGGAGGGGGCTACCGGTGGTATGGCAACTTAGTTACGATTGCTGTGTCAGCACAGTTCGGTCGTCGGTGTAACGTCTTTATGCCAGATTTTGTCCCCGAAGTCATTAAAAAAAGGAGATCCCAAATTTTGTTACAGATGACAAGAGTCACCTAGCCTGGATACAATCCTATTTGTATGCCAGGGTCCCCCTCCCCTCCCCCTGGTTTTTTGTCAATAAGCAAATAAGTGGTTACCTGCACTATGTCCATAGCTGTAGTCGATGGGAAATTCAACTGAAAACTTTTGACAACAGATCAATATGCTGGTACAAACGTCCACCGTATGTCCGATATCTGGGTGCTATGAGGAGCTACAAGGAGCGCGTCTTTACTCCACGAGTAGTCCACTTGGAATGTGCTGCCTACGCAGACTGACAAGTTTGAACAGGTATGCAGGTTCATAATGATGACGTCTATGTTACTAAGGGACTTTCATAAAATTGGGACTTTTGCAGGATTGAATAGTCACTCTGTGTCAGACTGTGACCTGTGATCACATCGCTTAAACTCGTAAAACATGCATATGCACATGATTGTATTTTGTGTACGTTAGGCTATATTGATTAATTATATTATTGGCATTACCTGGGAACCCCCAAATTGATGCGATGAGCGAACAAAAAAAAAGCTTTAAAAAACGTTGCCTTCAGTGTTGTCATGAAGGTTGAACAAATGGCTGGACGCAGTGTGAGTATCGTATGGCGAATGGTAGATTCATGTTCATTTCATCTTCACAATTCCTTTGGAATTAATTTTGATATTCTACGACATAAGTATAGCTGCTTTGTACGATTTACAGTATGGCCGAAAACTTGTTTTTTGAAACGGCAGAAAATTGATGTTTCTTCCATATAATCAAATCAACATGGCCTTACTTAAAACTCGTGGAACAGGCACATAATTTCATTTTGTGTACATTATGGTTGGACAAAAGACAAAAAAATGCACGTGAGACTTTTGTAGTAGAATGGGCCTATTATTTTTCCATTTGCCCTAGTGAGAAACTGTATACCCAAGTGAAGTTTCCTGCCTCTCAAACGCGTGGCATTTCCAATAAATTTGAGTTGAATTTATCAAATGAAATTCCACTGTTTATGTAACATTCTACAAAGAATGATGTAGTTCCTTACCTTCGCCATGACTGCAGACCCACACGCCACCAATATGAAGTGTATACTAGATCCACCTGCTTCGTACAGTCGTATATAAAGGTATATCCGCTCGCTAGAATCCCCCTCTTAAGCCCCTTCCCGTAGGTGTGAATCAAGAATCAAAACTTGGTCTTTGGGAAATACCCTGGTTTGTTATTCAAGCTATTTTTCTTTAGTCTTTTTATAAACTGTAGACAGGTTGGAACAGTTCCCACGCACAAGAAACTGACATACTTTGTATTGGTATTTGTTGTGTCAAGTTAAAACTTGGTATTCGGGAAATACCCGGGTTTATTAGAACTTCAATCTATTATTTTCTTTTCCTTTCTTCTCGTTTCTTTTCTTTTTTTTCCTTTGGCCCTATTATAAACTGTAGGTTATGTTATGTTAGATTTACTTCAACATTTACCACGCAAGAGGAACTGACGTGGTTTATATTTGAGTTTGTTGCATCAAGTCAAACTTTTTGGTATTTGGGAAATAACCTAGTGTGTTAGAACTTTAAGCTATTCATTTCTTTGGCCTTATTAAAAACTGTAGGCTATGTTAATTTCACTTCAACATTTACCACGCAAGAGAAACTGACGTGGTTTGTATATGAATCTGTTGTGTCAACTAAAAACTTGGTATTCGGGAAATACCCTGGTTTGTTAGAACTTCAAACTATTCTTTTCTTTGGCCTTATTATAAACTGTAGGCTATGTTAATTTCACTTCAACATTTACCACGCAAGAGAAACTGACGTGGTTTGTATTTGAATCTGTTGTGTCAAGTCAAAACTTGGTATTCGGGAAATACCCTGGTCTGTTAGAACTTCAAATTATTCTTTTCTTTGGTCTTAGTATAAACTGTAGGCTAATGTTAATTTCACTTCAACATTTACCACGTAAGAGAAACTGACGTCGTGGTTTGTATTTGAATCTGTTGTGTCAAGCAAAAACTTGGTATTTGGGAAATACCCTCATTTCCAAGTTAGGGCTTCGCACTATTCTTTTCCTTTTGTCTTACATGTTTGTATTGTAAACTGAAGACTGCATAGTTGAATGCCAATTTCAGTTCAAGAATCCCCACGAAAGTACGTAGTTTGTATTTAAAGTTGTGTCGTTGAGTCAGTACAAACATCGAAATTAGGTTTCTCGTGTGTAGTTTCCTTACAAAAGTCGCCTCATGGTTCAAATATCTTAGTCATAACCGTAAGGCCACAGCAAGTAAATTTTATGGATGACATCCACCGCAGACTCCAAATCTAATGCGAAAGGGCGAAAAAAAAACAAGGAGGGCCAAAAGAACAAGACTCCTACATTTTCACATTTCGACATCATAAACCTGGTTAAACAAGAAATGATACCTATATTGTATACGTTTACTGCCAACTATTACAACATCCATTTCTCACTGAAACAACTTGTTTTGATTCAGTGGAACATCACATACACACAGCCACCATCACATATAAAGGGAATGAAATACATCACTACATCAAAGTAAAAGACAACAATAAATCAGTCTTGTCTTGTCTCCTCTCTTCATAGTTATCTGCCATCCACGTTCCGGCATGACAACAGACATCTTTGCCCATTTTTGGCATGTGGACCACTGTCAGAGGGTAACAGAATTTCTTTTTTCTTTTTTCAAAATCAGGCGAAAATCAATGCGCGCGCTGATGTCATCCATAAAAATTACTTGCTGTGGCCTAATGTTGATAAATGTGTGTACTACACACATTCATCAGTTAGTCACACTCTAAATGTACTTTGTAAGTTACAAAGTACATTTAGAGCGTGACTACCGGAAACCAGAAGCGCAAGTGGGCGGTTCCCTGTTCATTATTAACATTAAGGCCACAGCAAGTAAATTTCATGGATGACATACTCCGCCGACTCCAAATCTAATGCGAGCGGGCGAAAAAAAACAAGGTGGGTCCAAAAAAACAAGGTTCCTACATTTTAAAATGTTGACTCAATCATTGTACAAATGGTTTTTAATCAGTGGGAACGTCACATATACACAGCCAGCATCACATACCACTACATCAAAGTAAGAAACAAGACATTAAATCAGAGCCTTTCTTGTCTCCTCTCTTCATATCTATCTGCAATCCACCTTCCGGCATGGCAACAGACATCTTTGCCCATTTTCGGCATGCTGACCACTGTAAGAAGGCAACAATATTTCTTTTTTTTTCCAAAATCAGCCGAAAATTAATGCGCGCTGATGTCATCCATAAAAACTCGAGGTCCCACTCATTCCTGTCTGAACGCTACAGTACTGACAAATCGCACCAGGAAATACGCCCTTTGACTTTCGAGGTTTCTGTATCACAATGAAACACACTACATGTGTATTATCGTGAGAGAAGAAGTAAACAAAATGAAATTTTGAGCGGAACAGTCAGTGTCGACATGTCAAGCTGTTTTGTTTTGGGGGGTGGGTAGGGGTAGCAAAGGGGGAGTCCCTAAACTCCATATCCTGGTTTGCACCGTTTTTTTTACTAGCTTTGAAAGCTTTACTGACAGAGATTTTTAAGCTAAGGCCACCGTATGTAAATTTTATGGATGACATCCTCCGCAGACTCTAAAACTAATGCGAGAGGCCAAGGGCGAAAAAAAAACAAGGCGGACCCCCAAAAAACATGATTCCTATATTTTGAAATTTTGACATCGTAAACCCTGTTAAACAAGAAATGATTCCTACATTCTGCTAACTTTCCTACTAACTATCACAACATCATTTTGTCACTGAAACAACTTGAAAAATTTTCAATCATTTTACAAATGGTTTTGATTCAGTGGGGACATATAAATGGAATGAAATACATCACTGCATCAAGGTAAAAGTTAAAACAACTAGAGTTCCCCGATCTCATACCTTCGCCAAATGACTGACAAATTATAGATTAGATTATTCCCCCCTGATTTAAGAAATAGGAACCTAATTTTCATGAATTATATCATTTTATCATAATCTCAACCAAAAGACAGTCTTATATAAACAAACAAGGCATTCTAGTATTTCCTAATAAATTATGCAAATGAGGTCCTGATTTGAATAAATTATGTTTAATGATGTTCACCTCAACTTAACTTTTCAAATACCATAAGTATGAAATTACAGGCAGTTATCATTACATAATTATAAAATTTTCTCATTAATTATGCAAATTAAGTCATTATTAACATAATCAATATCTGCCTGTGTTTCTCTCGTTGTCAATTACCAATGTCACAAGCTTCAATTGTCTTATTATGGAATGCAGCTGATTTATAGAATTTCCCCATAAATTATGCAAATTACATCCATATTTGCATAATTGTCACATTATTATATTAAGCATCACGTAAGCTACCTACATACCAAAAATCACGACGATCCGTCAACCGGTTATTGAGTTATCCTCTTTTGAATATTTTCAAGAATATATCCCTGCAGTTCCAGAGCAAGCCACTAGGGGGCCCAAACTCACGTCACTTCTTCCCCAGCACAAGAGCTACCTACCACCCAAATTTCATCACCATAAGATGTCTAGATCATGAGATATCAAAACCGGAAGTTCAGCTGCAGTACCATAACAAGCCGCTAGGGGGTCCAAAATCTAATCATTTTGAGGTCTCATCAAGACCTACCCACCTACCAAGTATCAAGACAATCCATCAAGGCCTTCTCAAGTTATCGTGTTGACAGACAGACAGACAGACAGACACACACACACACACACACATACACGAACGCCTCTGAAAACATAACCTTCTTGGCGAAGGTAATAAATCAGAGCCTTGTCTTGTCTCCTCTCTTCATGTTTATCTGCCATACACGTTCCAGCATGGCAAGGCATGCCATTTTGCCTATTTTCGACATGTTGACCACTGTCAAAGGGCAACAAAATTTCTTGTTTTTTCTCCAAAATCAGGCGACAATCAATGCGCGCGCTGATGTCATCTATAAAAATTACTTGCTGTGGCCTAATGCACCATGTAGGAAACTAGCAAACGGGATTTCCGTGTTGCTGTAGTAGGAAACGCCAGTAGCCATCCTACGGAACAGTTTTTTTTTTTCATTTTGAACAAGGGGATATTTTTGTGTTTTCATAGCATCATAGCACTAGTTTCAAAATAGAATATCACATTTTAAGGATGCATCGTGAAATTTTGTACCTTTTTCTGCTCCAACGTTTGAAATTTATAAGACCCTAAATTAAAATCTTGCTTGTCCCAACATTCAGCCACTTTGCCAACAAACTGCAGTTCGCCAGCCAACTGAAAGGAGCGCCACTACCACTTTTTAGAAGAAACGTTCAGCTTGATAGAATACACAGATATCTATATCAGCAAAGTTAACGTTATGGAGTCGTGAACATGACTACATGTACAGGTGATTTAAGAAGGAATCACATTGTCTTTACTGGGATCGAGGTATCGACAGTTGGCAGCGCACTAAAAACCTAGGGTCGACCCTAGCCGTCTGATTCGACCAAACGTCAACAGAAACCTCTGCTTGGAGAGTAGACGTCCACCACATAATTTTTTTTTGGCGCCTCATATTCCGTTCAATATCTTTGTTATAGAATGTAGATTATATAGTGAAGAGAGAAATGATCTGTATAGGCTTGTACAAAACCTATTTTCTTACTTCATTCACTTGAGCACTGTAGAAAAGTTCATATTCCTAATGCGACTTGACAAACCTTCCATATCGAAAAACATATCTTTTCCTTTATAATTATCTCTACTATAACTGAAAAGCGAGAAGAAGTTGAATTTATGTAATGATAGCTAGTTTTATTTTGTATATATCTTTTCATCTTATCTTTTTGTTTTGATCCGTGACCTGTACTTAGCCCAGTGTGAAAAAATATTTTTGGAGGCACGTTTGAAACCTCCCCATTTCATCACCCCTAGCTTCATACCTTTCGTTGGTGCATAAAACCCTCTCTGTTTCAATCGTTCTGACACATTGCCGTCTTGTGCATGACGTCACTGAAAATGGCGGGAAAAATCCATGGTCCACGGCACTGAGGTCACGCCTATTTGTTCCGAGTGATTCAACACCAAGTCGTCAGTAAAGAAGAAAACCGTCACAAGTTCATACAGCGTGTATGTCCGATTCCATGTCACAGATTTGCAGACGATTTCATCACCGTACGAAACGTTACCAAGAGGTCCCGGGTTCGAGTCCTGACATGCCACCGATCTTGTGCCCTTGCTTGGGAAGCGGCACTTTACACGACTTCCCTCAGGTGAAAATGAGTATTGTATTGTCCCCCGTGTTGGTGGCGGCATTAATATAAGTTGAAAAAAAACTTGAGTGTGTCGTCACCACGTCTGGTGATTACATGTTGAAATATACAAACATTAGCAATATGCATCGAATTGGGCTATGCCATTTCATGGAGGGGGGGAGGGGGGTAGATGGACGGAAATTTAGCCCTGGAAATGCCTATATAGCGCAGGAACCCCGTGATACATTTTCTAATTACGATATTTTCTAAACAGTAGGTTGAATCTGAAAATAGTAGCATCCACCAGGCCTTTCTACGGGAATACGGATCGTACAATTCGGCAAAAAAGACAGTAAAATTGGCCAAGGGAGTCCGGCCGCGGGGAGGTAGTTTCTTTCTTTCCCTCCGCGGCCAGTCAAACATACAAGGCGGCCAAACTCCCCTGGCAAATATTCTCCTATATATAGCCAGCGTAGTTAGTCTGGTAGAAACGAGAAAATAGTGCGTTTAGAGCCGTGATTTTTATAATCAATATTAGCAAGATTGTCGTTACCTTGAAATGAATGGACCACCCCAAAAATGAACGTTGGGTACTTACCTTTTATATTGTCAACGATGAGTCACTTTCTACAGGAATGACCGTTGGAAAGTCCGAACGTCAGTGAAACTCTTTATAATGAATTGCGCAACATCGTAACGTCCTTTCTGGCACAGTCGCTCGGTCACACCGGTAGGTTCTTGTTCTTGTGTATCAGATAACGATATTTCCTACATACGGCTCATCTTTCCAAAGTGTTCCCGCTTCCTTTTCCACTTGTTCTCCTTCCGTGGTGTTGTTTGAGAACATTACATAACAAACCCGTACTATAAAATGGTGGTACCTAAGTGGGTAGAAATCTAGAATTTTTGGTCTCCTTAATTATACGGAAAGTCCTCACGCTACTACTATTAGGCTAATTGTAGTGTGTGTACGTGTGTGGGTGTGTGTGTGCGTGTGTGTGTGTCGGTGTGTGCGTGTGTGTGTTTCGGTGTGTGTGTGTATGTATGTATGTGTGTGTGTGTGTGTGTGTGTGTGTGTGTGTGTGTGTGTGACTCTGTGTGTGTGTGTGTGAGTGTGTGTGACTCTGTGTGTGTGTGTGTGTGTGTGTGTGTTTCCTCAAGAAGGTTAAAAATTTAGATTTTTGACATCCTTGATCATACGTAAAGCGAAGCCGCTACGCTACTGCTGTAAGGCTAATTGTAGGATTTGGTGTGTAGTTTAGGCCAAACCGACCTAATTTTATGGATGACATCCGCGCGGGCATTGATTTTCGCCTATTATAAAAAAAAAAGATCATGTCCACCGAGGCTCTGGTCTGCCTCTAGGCCTGGTTAGTCCATGGTAGTTAGCGACAATACGGAGCCGGGCACCCAGGCTACCAAAGCTCCACGACTTAGAACTCAGTACTTACGTACAGCACCGATTCATAGATTTCTCAAAAAGCCAGCATGTACCGGCTTGTCATATACGTCGCTAAGTACTGCCGCAAATTCACAATACCAGCTTTGTATACCTGTGGTTTAGAAGCATTTTTATTTTTTGCCTGATTTTTTTTTATTCGCCCGCGCGCACTAGTTTGGGGGTCTACAGAGGATGTCATCCATAAAATAAAATCGGGGTGGCCTTATGTACATGTGTGTGGGGTGTGTGGGGTCGGTGGGTGGGGTGGCTGGGTGGGTGGGTGAACTCATTACATAATTGAAGAATTAGGTATGCTGCCAGGCCAATCTGTTTGGTCACGCCCTGTGTCGTTCACATCCTCAATTCACAGAAGCCAGCACACGCACCATGAAACACTGACAAACCAACAAATTATTGGACTAGGCGTGAAGTTTACAGTAAATGATAAGTTATATGTCATCAACCACTTGCACTACCTTTCCTTGCCACTAGCCGCAGTTTCGAACAAAAAGCTTACAAGAGGACAGGAATTTGAGGCGTTAGGCGATAGGTAGGTACATGCTTTCTATGCTTTGTATAGTTTACTTCCACGTTTCCAGTATCGACAGGAATATAGTAGTTTTCCCCCTTATTTCCGTAACTTTTGTCCTTTTGTTTAGAAATGCATGTTGTGAAAGAAGACGTTACTGTGCGCTAACATTCATCATACAGTGAAACTGTGAACACAGTAAATAGCCGTAGAAAATAACAACATATTTTATAGTAGTAGTAGTAGTAGTAGTAATTATTCACTCTTGTATACATTTTACTTTTGTCCTTTTGTTTAGAAATGCATGTTGTGAAAGAAGGTTACTGTTCGCTAACATTCATCATACAGTGAAACTGTAAACACATTGAATAGTCATAGAAAATGACAACATATCTATGATATCATGAAAATAGCGCTGTAGTAATTATTCACACTTCTTCGTTCGCGTATAAAATCAAATTTATGTTCAAAACGGGAACTACTAGCGATGCAATACCTGAAACCGTACTACTATCTCGCGGACCAACTCCCCGGCTGGCATGCTATTTAGCCAACTTCTACTTTATCCAGCCGCTTCCGAAGCCTGGTAGAGGCTACCTACTAGAACAAAATACAGCCCTTTTCCGTAAAGAGACAGTTTAAATTTTTCAGGACACACGGACGACTACCCTAGTCTCTACCAGACTAACTACGCTGGCTATATATAGGAGAATATTTGCTTGGGTAGTTTGGCCGCCTCGTAGATTTGACTGGCCGCGCAGTTAAGAAAAACTATCTCCCCGCGGCCGGACTCCCTTGGCCAATTTTACTCTCTTTTTTGCCAAATTTTATACGATCCGTATTCCCGTAGAAAGGCGTGGTGAGGTAGAGGGGGCTACGACCCAAGAATGCATTCAGTTTGCGGCCGATCGTACCATGGATTGTCATATGACCTCGCCCTGAGTAAATCAACAGCGTTAGCCAATCAGCGCATAGATGGCAGCTTGCCCATATTGTTCATTGGAAAAACCAGTGAGTAAGGGGAATCCCCCTCCCGCCCCTTGCACCAAGATGGCGTTCATATAAAAAGGTGAGTCGTTGTTGTGTTCGGGCTTCCTCGTGATTTCTAACTTAACACAACTGCAAGTTCCACTTACACAGAAACGTCCACACGTGTCTCTGTGAATCCAGGATGGTTCCTGTTTGAATTGCACTCTTTTGGTAGCCTCTACCAGGCTTCGGAAAGCGGCCGGAAAGAGTAGAAAAATGTAAAATGTCCTTGAATAGACTGTGATGATATGCCAGGATAGTTGGCCCGCGCTACAAGCGAACAGATTGCCGCTTAGCGCGGACCAATTCCCCTGGTATGTCATCTGTCTATTTGGCCATTTTCTACTCTTTGCAGCCGCCTCCCGAAGCCTGGTAGAGGCTACTCTTTTGGCCGGTCCTGCGTAATCTCTACCAGACTAACCGCGCTGGCTATATATAGGAGAATATTTGCCAGGGGAGTTTGGCCGTCTTGTAGGTTTGACTGGCCGCGGAGGGAAAGAAACCCGCGGCCGGACTCCCTTGGCCAATTTTACTTACTCTCTTTTTTTGCCGAATTCTACGATACGTATTCCCGTAGAAAGGCCTGGTGGAGGCTAGGTCCTGCGACTAGTTCCCCTCTTTCGCATTCGTCAGTACGTGACGCAGTACATATTTTGTACCCTAAAATTTTTTTTGTGACGAGTGGAATTCCCCTGAGGTTATCTGTTGTCTGGTGGATTGTCGATGTTTACGTTCTGTTTTCTTTTCTTTTCCAACACAACAGCTTTATAACCTGCTTGTATTTACCTCTTCTTTTTTAATGTGTGCACAAAAGTTTAATATTTCATAAAAAGACTGACGGAGATACCAATTGTCATCGATTAACACCTTCTTTTGAAGAAACATGCCTAGGCTTGTAAAGATCGATTAATTGATACATAATAGTTCCGCATGGCGCAACCCAGTTTAAACTGAGTGTTTGTTGTCTTACATATAAGATGCTATTAGATGTTGCATAACGTAAGGATGAAAAGTTTTTTCCATCAACATTTTGAAAGACTGGACGAGCTTTAGAGTGACTATTACGTTTTGTTGTTAGCTACGGGTAATTGGACTTTGCTTTGGTTACAAAAGTTGTTTACCACAAACGAGAAATACGATCCAGTGTTGCAAAAATAATTGTTCCCTTTCAGAAGAGTGCCCTCGAATACTTATAGGAAAACGTCATTAGCGATACTAACGTCATACGTATGTGTTGGATACAGTTACTAGCTGGCAAGGTTTTCTCGTGCCTAGTAACAATGTCGCGGTGTATCATGTGATCTAGTTAACGTTTATTTACCTATCTTTCGTATATTTGCCTAACGCCACACCGCCTTAATTTTTTGGATGACATCCGCGCGCGCATTGATTTTCGCCTGTTCTCAAAAAAAAAAGACCACGTCCTCAGAGGCTCTGTCCTGGCTCTAAGCCTGGGTAGTCCATGGTGGTTAGTGACAATACGGAGACAACTCTGGCTGCCGAAGCTCCAAGACTCAAGAACTCAGTACATACGTAGAGTGCAGATTCAAAAATTCCGCAAAAAGGCAGCATGTGCCGGCTTGTCGTATACGTCGCTATATACTGCTGCAAATTCACAATACCAGCTTTGCATTTCTGTGGTTAAGTTTTATTTTTATTTTTGGCCGGAATATTTTTTTTATTCGCCCGCGCGCACTAGTTTGGGGGTCTTCAGAGGATGTCATCCATAAAATTAAGACGGTGTGGCCTAACTCTTGTGCCTTTTGGATCTAAACTACGCCACAGCAAGGTTTAAGTTATTCTATTTGGTCACAGTCAGTCTTGAATACACGTACAAAGACTTCAGATTAGTTCCACGTGTAAAGCTATGGAGGCGACAAACTTCAATAGCTGCGCCACAGGAAAGCAAAGGTGAAAGAGGCAAAGAAGCCTCGGCCTAGCTGTTTTGTAGAGAAAGAACACATGTACAGTGGAGGGGTTGAACAAGAACTCGAACCACCCCGGGCTAAATTATAAAACATGGGTGGACATGGTATGTGGCAGAACGTGCTACAAAGACCGTGTGAGGGAGCACGTGTTTGTACAAATAACACTTGCATGGGAAAAGCCATCAAAAGAACTACGCGACAAATTTTGACATGAAAAAAAACAAAACAAGAACAAAAATTGCGAGCTGCGCACGTCCTTTTACACAATTTGCGAACGGTCCCTTAAAAGTTACACATCACATGTCGTTCGAAAAAGACCTGTGTTTATGATATCACTCAAACGTCACAAACATCTGACATTGTCGAGGGAAAGTCCATCTTTGCATCTGACTTTGCCATCCTAGCCATGGTATAACAACACATCCTGCAAAAAAGTCAAGCTTCGAAGATTTTTCAACTTACGCTCCTGCAGTTCAAGAACAAGCCGCTTGAGGACCCAAACTCATGTCACTTCTTCCCTAGCTCAAGAGCTATCTACCACCCAATATTCGAGATCCTAGCACGTCCAGATCACGAGATATCAAAACCGGAAGTTCTGCTCCAGTACCAACAAAAGCCGCGAGGGGGTCCAAAATCTAATAGTTTCTAGGTCTAATCAAGACCTACCCACCTACCAAGTTTCATGACAATCCATACTCAGCTTCTTGAGTTATGCTGTTCACAGACAGACATACCGGCGGACAGACAAAGAAACAGACGGACAAACGCTACTGAAAACACGGCTGGGCTGGTCTGTTTTTTTTATATGTTTACTAGTAATTCATAGTCATGCGATTGATGACCCGTACCTACCCGTCCCCTAGTGGCATGTAACATGTACGTACAATAAAGGCCTTTCATTATCATTGTTGTACCGAGAAATGACGTCATGCGCAGACGCACTGGCGTTTTTGAAAGTGAAACCACAGGTTTAGTTTCGGACCAGGTACCGGCTATGCACAACTCTCAGTCTGTTCTCATCGAAGTTACCGCATGCAGCCGTCTAGCTGCTTCCAAATCTGTAAGTATTGCTGTACGAGAAACATTCAATCCATTTTTGCAAAGAATTGTAGGTCTATTTGATTTCGAAATTGTAATGGTATGGCTCGCAATAGTCTCCTTGGGAGTAGCATTTCCGTTTCCGGTCTCTACGCCCCCCTTTGTAGCTTACGCAGGGTTCGAATCATTTTTGAGGTTTCGGTGTCCTAGCTACTGCGTTTTAGCCTCCACCAGGCCTTTCTACGGGAATATGGATCGTAGAATTCGGCAAAAAAAGAGAGAGTAAAATCGGCCAAGGGAGTCCGGCCGCGGGGAGGTAGTTTCTTTCCCTCCGAACTGCGCGGTCAGTCAAACCTACAACTTATACAAGGCGGCCAAACTCCCCTGGCAATTATTCTCCTATATATAGCCAGCGTAGTTGTGTTTGTTCACAGTTAAAAACAAGACTATTAGAAGACCCTTAGAAAGAAATTATTTTTTAAATTACCGAAATTGCATAGATATGGTGCTCGGGTTTGACCTACAATGCTTTATGTTAATCACTATGAAATGATCGAAGTCACACAGAAACTAGAGACGCAGGTAGCCTCAGCTGCACACATTCACGTACATATATAGGTCGACACTACAGGCACAGCAATGTAATAGAAGGATGAGACGGTTTAAAAGGAGAGGAATGCCTGTATTCTTAAGAAAATAATCAGCCCAGTTGGAGTAACAAACACTCTTACACTTGAACTTTGGAGTCAGCGCTGAACTTTGAACGTAGTCCCCGAGCAGATCTTACGATAATGTGTGGGCTTTTTCATAGGATTTCATACTTTCAAACAGGGGTCTAGGCCTTGCTAAAATTTCGACGTGTTTTCAGACGTATTTACCGGGCTTATTTTTTGGCGACGTCTCAGGGAGGAGCCCATGGTACAGTATTGTGTGCAGTTTGCAAGAATTCTAGGAATGGTACAGGCATCTTGTCCACAGGAATGGAATGTCCACAGGCATTTCTCTGACTCACATCTATGCCCACATTCCTGGGAACCCTTGGGAAGACTTCTCTGCCCCGGATGGCCCTACTTTCTGTGACTCGGGGCTCGTTCACTATATACTCAGGGGAGGAGTGTACTGTATCTGTACCATGTCTTCCTCAAAATCATGAAATGATGGCAGTGCCATACAAACAATAACCCTAACAGCGCCATGTCAATGTATGTTTTCATTGTCAGTCTTGTTGTACTTATTTTTACTGTACTGTACTTTACTTTACAGCCAAACGTCGGGTGACGTATTAGATACTACCCTGCCAATAATCCTGTTTTGCCAAATTGATACTGTTTCAGTACAGCTTTACTAATGGACTAGCCCCCTGTTGTAGTGATTGCAGAACTGTGTGGTCCAAGGGCTACGAAACGGAGATGGGCACTGCCTTATGTGACAAGTCAATGTTTGCGGGGAGGGCTTTAATTCAGCTGTGTAGCCACTTAAAGATCTGCTTACAGATTAAGAATTTAATGCTGTCAACATGGATACCACGTGCCCCTTTCATGCTTATCTATTCAGCATATGTCAGTAGAGCATTTGAGGGTAAGGTCCAAGACTTAATTCTATGGATGACATCCACGCGCGCATTGATTTTTGCTTGTTCTAAAAAAAAGATCACGTCCTCCGATCCGAGGCTCTGACCTGGCTCTAGGCCTGGGTAGTCCATGGTAGTTAGAAACATTACGGAGCCGGTGGTAACCGTGGAGGATGGTACCCAGGCTACCGAAACTCCACGACTCAAGAACTCAGTACATACGTACAGTGCAGAAAGCCAGCATGTGCCGGCTTGTCGTATACCTCGCTATGTAACGTCGCAAATTCAGAATACCTGCTTTGTATTCTACTGCATTTTTATTTTTGGCCTGAATTTTTTTTTATTCGCCCGCGCGCACTAGTTTAGGGTCTTCAGAGGATGTCATCCATAAAATTAAGTCAGTGTGGCCTAAATACACAACCGAAACTTTGGCAGTAAGGCTATGATATTGCGGTATCGCCTTGGTTTATCTGCTTACTTTCAGTATCCATAAAGGGGTTCGCT